TAAAATATTAAATAATATAATAATTATATAAAAAATTATTTTTAAATATATAGTTTTTTAATTTTATTTAATTAACATTAAGTTTCAAAAAATTTATTATAATAATTTTCAAATTTTCTTTAAAATTCATATGTTTACTAACTAATTGAATCACTTTACTACTAATAAAAGTTATAAAATTTTTTAATAAATTATAAAAATTGTTTTTAAAATTATTTTTTATGATAAATTTATAATGTCCTATTTTGGTTAATATTGCTAAAAGTAAAATTTTAATTAGATTGTATAATGTTAATGATAAAATTTTTTAAAAATTACAAATTTTTAGTTTATAAGTAACTTTAGATTTTTTATTATATAATATATATATAAAATTTTATTATATGTTTTTCATTTATTTTAGTAATATTTAAAAAGTAGAGCAAAAAAAAGGTAATTATTATTAGTAAATAGTCATTATGATATTAAGTGATAAAAGTTTATTCTAAATTAAAAATATTTTTTATAAAAAATAAAGTATTTATTTTAAAAAAAGGAAAATACCTTTCACTATTTATTGGCAAAGCATCATCCGGACTAATTTTTTTTTAAAATATTTATTAAATTATATTTTATTTATTATTTTTTAAATACAAAATCACGAGGTCGGTTAAAATCGGTCAAAATCGGTCGGTCAATCGGTCAGTCAGAAAGCTTTTAAACCAGTGTTGGGTTTTGGACACATTTTTTGATTTTAAATATTTTGGACAAGGTTTTGGACAACATAGAAAAATGTGTCCATAACCTGTTCAAAACTGTCCAAAATTGTCCAAAAATTGTCCAATTTCCCAACACTGTTTTAACCGACCAATTGAAACCAAATTAACAGCCAAGATTTATACGACAATTTTATTAATGCGTGTAGTTGATTATCACAAAGGTTTGAAAGTATAGAAAAGAATTTTATAAATCGTAGGATTTTGTAAGTCATTAACAACACCCTTAATTCTAGATTTATTATTTAAGAAAATAACAAAAAATATAATGAAAATAATAAAAAATAATAAATAAAATAAAAATATAAAAATTATAAGTAAAATAAACATGAATAATCTAGTAACTATGCCTGATAAAATCCCATCATAAGATGGAATTCGGTTTATGGCAGGAAGATAATATGGTTGGAAATTTCGAATTTGGGAAGTACTTATTCGACTGACGCGCTAAGTAAGTGCCAGGGAAATTATCAAGGGGGGAGTATAATGATACCAAGTGTTCTTATCGATGGGAGCGAATGATTATAATTTGTGAATTCGTTCGAGGATCGGTGATAAGGTTAATGGAATTTCAAACGATTGATTAGAAATTCGATCAATCATGGGGGGAGGGGTGGAAATTGACGTGTGTTTGTTTTCTGGATTGTTTAGATTTTCAATCCAACTAATTATGATCAAGAATATTTATTATATTAATAAATTATTTTTTTTTTTTAAAACGAAAAAGAAAAAAAATATATATGATAACTTACTGACTATATTTCTTTGCATTATTCAATGACTTAATCAGGTCTTTAGAATAATCCATATCGACCAACTTCCTAATATAATATTGAATAAGTTTCTCTCTGTTCAGTTCGTAGTCGTCCTTTTTTTGTTAATCATAAAGTCAAATGAATTAAAATTTTTATTTATAAATAACGATATTGATAGGGAGGTTTTAAAGTTTAAGAAATATTTGTGAGATTTAGATCAAATGAAGAGAATGATTTTTCATGCAACTTTTATAGCTAAAAATGTCGACACACGTGAATTGGGGTTAATGTACGATATATGATTGGTTTATCATGCAAATCATCATTTATTTGGACGACTATGAGTGACCCCTTAATAAACAATACAAAAACAAAGAAACAAAGAAATATGAACAAATGGAATAAATATCTCCCCAATTATGCAGTTTAATTAATTAAAATGAAACGATGCTTATTAAGTCATTTCTTGGAGAATTACCGTACTGCAGTGAACTTCTAACTGCGGAATATGCAGTAAATACGATTCCGAAACTGTCATTTAAAGATTTTGACAATATGTTATTTTAAGTAGTTAACTAGAGAAGCCTGAGGCTAGCAGAATCCGCAGAATCTATTGGCGATATGATTTGCTAATTATTGTTGTATTACATAATAAACTTGCGCAATTGTTACAATCTTAACAAACGAACAGAAACAATAACAGTATTTAATAATGATTAAAATATTTACGTCATTCAGAAAAATCTACACGTCAGAAATCTGTGCCATGTAGGTGACGCAGCGATGACAAATAGCATGTGATGAATAAGATTTGGACCACTTAATAAAAAATGTCGCTGAGATAAATATAAAATGCATCGAGACAATCACGTGATCAAGTGACCACGAGCAAAATCTATTGTAATATTATTATTCTAATTAATAAAATATAAAGTATAAATATATAAATAAATATAAAGTATTAATAACTTAAATCAAATTTCGCAGCAGATTTCTGGACACTCTACCTGATGCATAATTCAACGGACCACTTCCAACAGCTACCCGCTGTTTAAAACTTTTGAAAGCGAACCAACCCGAAAGAGGAACCTAAAGGGCAATCTACATAATTGCGATTCGACCCTAAAGATATTATTGCCGAAAAATAAATAATAAAAATAAAATTCTTACCGCAGAAGATCGAACTTAAAAAAAAAAAATTATATAATAATTAATTAATCAAAAAAAAATCCACCTATCACATACTGTAAAAATCACAAATCATCTATCGCTGCAGCTCGAAGCGAAATAAAAAAAGAAAATATTCGATCGCTGCGATCCGAATCTGAGATTAAAAGCATATGTTATAAACATCATCTAGCAACTAAACTAACCAAATTTAATTTGTAACCCTTTCAGCATTCTATTTCCTTTGCCACCGCGTATTACTAAATTAATATTGCAATTTACCGAAGATTTCTAATATAATTAACTATTAATTCGATTCATTTGTAGATAGCATCAAAACCTTTGTGAAGACAAGAATAGTGCTCCGAAACGATCGAGTCGACCCTGATCGTTTGACCCGACTCGAATTTTTTCTCGAGTTGGGACTATCATTTTTATGACACGAGTTCTAATTCAAAAAAACCCGCTTGACCCGGATGATCAGACGCGCTAGACTTTTTTTTGTTTTATGTTATGCGACTTTAATTTGTAACAAATAAATAATAAAAAAGTAAGCCTACTGAAGTTAGGAGTACAACTTTTCTAGAAAACGAAAAGCATTGCGGAGTGAACAATAACAGTTAAAATATTAAACATTAACTTATACATTTTTTTATAAATCAACAATTGTTCAAAAGATGTGATCTTAAAGCTAATACAATTTGCTTGTATGTGCTTGAAATTCTGGTGAAAAAAAAGGAATTTGAATTAATGCTCACAAAAAAAAAAAATTTTAAAAATAAAATAAACTTTATTTGATTTTCGGCATTAATATTACCCTTGAAAATTCGGGTTCTGTAATTATTAACGGGTTCGAGTTCGAATATGCCTTAAACCCGACCCTTACGGAGCACTAGACAAGAAGATGGTTGAAAATGTTGAATTATTTTAAGTAAACGATTTCAATTTTCACTTTAAACTATTTACTTGAAGTCTATATAATACAACCCAACCTGTTAACAGTTAGATACTTTAAGAATTTATTAAGTTTAGTGATACAACATTTTTAAGTACGTTCGAACATTTTCTTTTGAAAAAAGAAATCCCAGACCATTATACCTTATTTAGAATAATAATTAAGAAGATTGTTCAAACAAAGACTTGTGATCTTAAAAATGGAATTGATTTTCTAAAAGGGTGTCAAAAATAGAAAACACATATTCTAAACTTCATGTTAAAGAGATACATGTAAAAACTTTTGGAAAAAAAAACGAGAAGTATTTATATATTGCATTTAGATACTGAACTTAATATTTGAAGAATTAAAAATGTTATTTATTTATTTTTCTTCGTTAGGTTTATTTATTATACCAGAATTTTTTTTTTTTTTTTTGATAGAACGGTGCGATGAACAGGTGATTATCAACTTCACTTTTGGGAAAGACTGTTAAAAGAAGTTAGCAAGTGAACGAAGGCGTGAACCCAAGCATTTTGAGACCATATAAAAAATTTCTTTTTAAATGCACACCCTCTTTAAATGCACAATGGTATATATTGTAGGTGTATAGGTGAGGTATATATTAAAGAACTGAGATCATATAGTGTTGTCTTTTTATTTCTATTGCTAAAACGGTATATAATGACGAATTTGATGAGGGTAATAAATTTGTCGAGAAAATTCTTTTTTTTTTTTTTTTTGATTTAGCTTAATCATCAGCGACACTAAATTCTGAAGTGCGAAAGATGTTTTGATTTTATTAAGCTTCATTCATTTGTTGATGAAAGCAAACCTGTTAGAACAGGAACTATATCTACTTAAAGAATTGTTTAACGTAGTACCAAAATGAGAAAGTTTCGAATATTTGGAATAAAACAAATGTCACATTTAGCGTCATTTTATAATTAAATTCGGTGTTATTTTTTTTTTTATTTATTTATAAATATTTACATCTGACGAAATAATCTATTATTAATTTCTTCAAAAATCGCATAAAATTAATGTCTCACAGTGTCAAGTTGAATGGCGTTCCCTGATTTATCGAAAACATTCGTACTTTATTGATACTTTATTATCCAAATAAATTAGCTGTTGCCTAAATATTCGATATAATGATCAATTTGGGTTTTCATAACAAACTTGAACAAGGTAAAACTAAATATATTTTTATTTTTTTTTTATTTTTCCCCCTTTCTAAAACAGCATTATTAAATAATACAAATAATGCAAATATAAATAGCGACTAACATTATTTGCAAGCGAATTTAATTCAGAAACTTATTTATCATTTATCTTAAACATATATTTATATTTATATTTACAAATTAGTACCGTTTTTTTGCTCCCTCACCAAGCTAATTTATCCAAGAATGATTTTGGATAGGTTCTTATGAGCAACTTTCTTATCTCGTCCATTATCAGAATAAATGCAGCAAATCCGAGAGGAATGAAATAAAATTTTACTGGAATCGGTCTGATTGGGATTAATTAATCAAATGAGAAGTAAAGAAAAAATTTAATCTAGTATGCAAAGTAGAATAGAAAAGAAAAGCTATATTTTACCTTGTATTAAAAACATTATTGAAGAAGGGTACGTAAAGTATAACCAACATAGTTATAAGGGAGATGAACATTGCTCCAAATAAATATAAATTTTTCGTTGGCCCTGAAAATGGATTTGATTGGAATATTGATCTGCGTCGTGTTCGGATGGATAAGAGGTTTCCAAATTGAGTAATTACCAATGTTGCAAAGTATATACTTTGACCCGTGTACTAATTAAAACAAAGGTAAATTTCTTATGAGGATTGAGTGAATGTATCAATATTGAAATCGTATCATACATTGAGTTCGTTAAGTTCGTCCATCGTCTTTCCCATAAATCCATCTCCCCAGTTGTTAAATGCTGCATTATAGTTATGATCAAAGAATTTAGCAAACGTGAACAACCAATTTTCAGATCATGATATTCTAACTATAATTTACCTAGTACTGTATCTCTAAAAGATATACCACCATAAAAGGATAAATACGTAAAGAACATCCAATGCGCAAGGAGCATTTCCGTCATGCCAATAAACCCATAAGCTTGCAAAAGTAATTTGGCATCTACAAGATGGTCTCTAGTTACTTTGCGTGGCTTTCGTGACATAAGGTCCGATTCGGGTTTTTCATGCGTAAGGGATAGCGATGGGAATATGTCGGTTCTTTTTAAATAAAGGTGATGTGAATGTTTGGATTTACTTTTAGGTAAAAAGTACACACGCGTACGTACATGCAGCAAACGACAATCATGAGGAAAGGTGATAGTGGAAGTGGAATTCCAAGCAAGACATTTGCTAAAACAGGCCACATTTCAGACCAAGATCCAGCTGGCAAAAGATACAATATAACTTTCTTCAAATTATCAAACACAAGTCGACCATTTTCCATAGCCATGACGACTGATGCAAAATTGTTATCCAGTAAAACCATATTTCCTGCTGCTATAGCCAAATCAGATCCCAGACCCATAGCAATTCCAATATTCGCTTGTTTTAATGCTGGTGCATCGTTCACTCCATCACCGGTCACTCCCACGACATTGCCTCGACTTTGAAGTTCAGTTACCTAAAATCTTTCGTTATAACAATGTTTGTATATAAACTTTTAAAAAGAAAAAATACTTACAATTTTCAATTTTTGTTCTGGTGTCGTTCTAGAAAAAACTATTTCCGAATAATTTGCAATGGCGTCCCAGTGTTTAGAAGTCAAATTTGCATTGAAAAGGTCTTTTCCGGTTAAACTAAGTGAATTGACATTCAATTGATAATCATCCTCTTCAGAATCTAAATTTCGACGAAACGTAGACGTCTCGCCAATGTCTTCCTTTTTAATGATATTATTAATGTCATCCACTTTATCAGTGGTTAGAATGCCACACTGCCTGGCTATTGTTTCCGCTGTCAAGGCATAATCACCTGTAACCATGAAAACTCTGACTCCTGCCTTACGACATTTTTTGACAACTTCAGGAATTTCTGCGCGAGGCGGATCTAATATTTGATGACGATTTATATTAAAATTAAGAGATTTCTATATTTATGCAAGAAAAAAAAAAATTCTCACCGATAATTCCCACCAAACCAATAATACATAAATCCTTATTAAATGATAAGGCTAAATCTGTCATTTCGACATCATTTTTAGTATTCCCAGGGAATATGTGTGATGGAATAATTCTTTTGGATAACAAAAGTACACGCTGACCCTTCCTTGACCATGAATCCTGAATAACCTCAAATAGATTTCTACTTTCATGATCAAGCGGCTTTTCACTACCATCTGGATGAAGATAAAAAGAACATCTTTCCAACAAAACTTCAGGAGCACCTTTGCAAAAATATACAAGTTCTGATGTTCCTAGAACGTTGTCGACATTTCCGTTGCTGGAGTGAATGGTAATTACATATTTATTTTTAGAATTAAATGGAACCTGAAAGATTGTTTTAAACTCGCGGCGATCAGCCGCAGTTGATTCTTTTATTTAAATTTTAAAATTTTAACGTTAACATTTTGTAATAAATTTTGAAGGAAATGCTTCTCTCTCTGCCTTTTCAATTTAAGTAACATACCTCTCAAATCTTCGGCGAAACGGAGTAGACTAGAATCCGTAGCATCTCCATTTATAACTCTTTCATGTACTGGGAGTGTCATTGAGGCAGCGTCAAATGTCGCAGCATTACATAAACCAGCAGCTAATTGTAGAGTTCTAACTGCCTTTTTTTCCGGATGGTCAGTTCTCAATATATCTTTGCATTCCTGGGGTTTCATCTCCTTGGTGACAAAACTCACGTTATTAATAAACATTTTGTTCTCTGTTAATGTACCAGTTTTATCCTAGCATCAGTATATATAATATTGGTTATTAATAAGTTTAAAGGTAAAAATAGAAAAAAAAGTAAATTATATTTACCGAGCAAATAATAGAGACACACCCAAGGGTCTCTACGACAGGAAGGGTTTTACATAAAATTTTTTGACGGTATGAGCGCTTGGCGATCAATGTTAGACATAATGTGACGGCTACGGGCATTCCTTCTGGTACAAAGGCGACTATGACACCAATAGTATTCACCAACATACCAGATAAGGTTAGGAAGCCGGAATAATACACTCTTAGCCATGCAACCCACCTAAAAGTATTAAAGTTTTAAAAACAACGCAAGGTAAATGATGCACAATAATAAATAATTCTAATAATAATAATTACAGGATCATAAGTACGATGCCAGTAGATATAGACAAGCTTGCAATGATCGTCACAAACCGAGTTATTTCTTTCTGAAGAATCGTAGGCTCCGAATCGGTAGCAGTTGATAACTTTGCAATCTTGCCAAACACGGTCTTGTCGCCTAAGATTAAAAGTCATCAAAAAAAAAAAAAAATGTCAAAGTTAAGCGAGTGACAGGAAGAAGAATATAAATTACTGAAACATTACCGGTGGCAACGACGACACCTTTTCCACTTCCATTAGTGCAATGAGTGCCAAGCAAAGCAATGTTTTGTGTTTCAAGATAGTTGTCATCCGTGGCTTCCACAGTGGCGGTAACTGGTGCATTCTCTCCAGTCAATATTGATCGATCGAATTTCATATCACTTGTCACTTCCACTAGACGCAAATCCGACGGAACCTTGCTACCCATGTTTATTTGAACAAGGTCTCCGACGACTAGATCTGAAGTTTTTTCGGAAAAAAGAAGGTTTATTATTGAGACAGGAGGAAAACACTTTAGAATTGTGAAAATTAACATTACCAGTTGCAGGTATTTTTTGGACTTGACCATCACGAATAACAAGCGTTTCAGAAGGCAGCATATTTTTAATTGACTTCATCACCCTTGATGTTGACCAATCCTGATACGCAGCAAATACAGCCTGAATCACTACAACGATTATCTTTACACAATAAAACGATTATTTAGAAATCAAGACATTTTTTTTTTCGAGTGAACGAGAATAAAAATTCGAATTCTTACTAGAACGATTCCCAAAGCAAGGTTTATTAGAGATGGGTTTGGCTCGCCTAATGGTTTATACGACAAGATCATGATAATGGCCGCAAACCAAAGCAAACTACAGAATCCACCAAGAAAATAGCCGAAGATTTTATAAATTATATTGTTTTTAGGCGGTGAGATTACATTTTTACCATTGCGTTGAAGATGGTAGGCGGCCGTTTGAGAGTTTAGACCCAGGTTTTTATTGCATTCGAACCGTTCCCAGATCAAATTGACCGGAAGGGTGTGATAATTAAGTTGTGCGATATCATCTATTGTGAAAAGAGGAAAAAAGTAAGTTATATGAAATATTGTGTATATCTGAATATGAAATAGAGGATACCATCTGGAGAAATGGTGGCCGCCTTTTTTTCTTTCTTTATTCGGTATTTTCGAGCTTGGATACTATCCGAAGTCTGGATGGATCTGCAAGATTTGAAGATAACGAAAAATGGTTAATGATCGAAATTAGCATCAATCATTGAAGTGTATGACTTACAAAGTGCGATAATTAATAGACAATGATCTTTCTAGAGTTAATCGTGGTATAGAGTAAGTAGCAACATTTCTATTGTGGTCTTCTACAATGTCGTTTGAGTTTAAAGGTAATTGACCCTTCTCCTCAATAGAAAAATCCACTCCAGGTTTACGCGATTTCTCAGACATTGAGCCCAATAAATAAAAGGATTAAATATTTATATTTGTAATTTGGTAATTTGGTAGTATTTTTTGAAAAGAGATAAAAGTGAATTTATACTCACCAAGTGCCAAGAGAATCACAGAAATTCAATCACGACGATTACTATTGTTATCAGATCAACAAGATATTTCGTAATGATGATTGTCAGGAAAACTTTTATACTCCTAATATATTAGTATATTGCTATTTTAAGAAAGATCGATTTCTATTATGACATCAAATTTTGAAAATTCCTAATTTGAGAAAAAAACAAACGATTCGATTCCACCAATTATTTTAATTCAGGACCGGAAGATTTCAGTTTAGAGATTGGAACCAGATTTATTTTTTATATCCGGTTCCAACCTTTATTTCAGTTCCGACAAATATTTGTGTAAATAAAAAAGAAATTCAACACGTTTAGTTATGTTTTCCGAACGTAAAATTAAATTCACATATTATAGCATATTGTAATGTAAAAAACTTTTTATTAAATTTTCAATTCCAAATATTGAAATAAAATCAGAAGAATTTAAAAAGAGTGTTGAAAACAAAGGTTACGACTACCTATTCTAACGGCTATCCCAACCCTTAGTATAGAGCAATAGAAATTAGTTTCATCGTGATTTTTTTTTTTATTATTTTAGGTTTGGGAGCCAATAATAATTTAAGTTGACATGGTGAAAACATAATGAAATATGATTAAAATTATTCACGTATTTATTTTCAATGGCCACATATTTTATTAGAAGGAGATTTATGCGCTTGGTGACAATATAAAGAATCACACGCTTGATTCACAAGGCAAACACTTCCAACAGGACGGTCATCACTACTGTGGCATTGATTTCGACCCGAAATCATATGCGAGCGACAAATTTGTGAATCACATTGATAATCTTTAGAACAATTTGATCCAATACCTATCAATAATAAAATTGTCGTAAATTTAAGGATCGCAAAAAAAAATTAAAAAAAAACGATGATGATAATAATTCTTTTTAGAATAATAAAGGACTCATACCAGCAGCTTCAACTAAGTTGGTAGAAAAAAGTGCTACGAGGAGAATAATAAAAAGAGTTTTTTTCATGATTAAATAATTTGAATGGTGAATGTTATATGAAAGATGTATAAAGTAATGTGAAAGGCTTTTGTATTTTAATTTTTTTAAAAAAACATGTTCTATCGAATTTAGCATTTAAATAAGAAAAAAAATTGGAATCAGATCTACTTGCTTCGGGTCATTAAATGAGAGAAATGAGAGCCCGACCGGTTTTTTAATTGTCCGGTGAAATAAATTTGCCCATCATAATTTTACAATTTCCCTCGAGACCTACAAGGGCGGATAATTTTCGGCAAATTATACAATCCTCTTACTATATTAATAAACTTTCTCGCTAGCTTGGATTCCGGTAAAAAAGCGGAGTTTGGACGACATTCTGAGAAAAGGTTTTTGAAGGTCGATCACTTCAACTAACAATAATATAATATTCAATCATATTTATGATTGAATATAGTTATTTTATAAGAAGCTGAATAATCCTCTACTTTTATTGGAACCTTTATTTTATAGTATAAAAATAACTTTACTAGTATTGAACAGGAGACATTCCCGTACAATGAATGGTACAAACTAATTTTTCAAACCAAATATCTTTATAAAGGATCGGCAATTCAGACCAATGTGTGCATGGTGTTAATGATTTACAGTACGACAAATTAGCATGAGCATGAACACGGGCCTTTTTAAATATCGTATGGGGTAATACAAGGTATTTAAGAGCCAGAGGCAATTTTAGGAAAGTAAACTCCTTTAGGTGTTTATGTAAGATCGCATAATAATAATGCCTTTTTAAAACTGACTTTTTTGACAAAAAAGTTCCAAGTGAAAGGACTTTATACAATTAAATTCTTAAAAAGAAGAGGCAGGACCAATATTCTGAATATGGAAACATGAAATGAATGATGATTGTTATTAAAGGAGAATACTTTACAGCGTATCTTATCTATGTATTAATGATTCTAGTTTTGTTTAAACATCAGTAATCTCTGCTTTCTTAAAAATTTAACACATTAATTCCTTTTTATATTTTTATATATTTTTTTTTATAAATTTAATATTTAATAGAGTAAATTTATTTATCGCACGTGCGTTGCATCATGATGTTAATTAGGGAGTTCATTTGGTTAACAAGAATAAAATTATAAGTTTTATATTTGTAAAATGTTAAAGTTGTTTATTATTATTATTAAATATATATTGAATATATATTAGAATCTGTCCTTTTTTTAGGGTATTTTCATGCTCTTTATATAAGAAAATTACAATTAAAGAAAATCTATAGTAGTATATGATACTATTGACAATAATAACAGAACTACAAATATGCTAATTATGTTAAATATGAAATAAATAAATGATAAATATAATAAAAATACTATAAATAATATATGTCTTTTATTTGGTAGATATAGCATATTTAATATACTGTATATGTCATATGTGACAGGTTTATCAGTTTCTGCCAGTTTTAATTTTCTTTTCTAAATTTTGATCTCTAGACTAAATCAACATAATTTCTTCTATTAGAGATTGATAGTTACTTTTTTTCATTAAATAAATTTCAAGAACACTTATATATTGAATTTGTTGAATTTACTCTACTCCTAAGAATTCAAAGATGAAATAAGTTTGTATATATGTTGTATAATAATACTTAGTTAACATACTTTAAAGTAGGTACATTGAGCTGAAGTAAGTTTTTTTTTTAATAGTTGTTTTAAGTAAAAGATATTTGTTATCATTAATACACAATTTCTAAGGATTGAGGTTTTCTTAGCATTTCATAAGTTATCTCAAATTTTCTTTTTAACTTCATATTTTATGTATAAGAAGGTATAATAGGGATAGAATTATTGAAAATTTTTTTTTTCAAATCACTTTTGAAATTTTCTAAAGACATAATAAAAAAAATAAAATAATAAAAATAACAAATAAATTACAGTGGCTCACAAAAGTAATGCAACCGCTAAGCATAAAACTTTAAATTAATGTAACTTTTTTTTATTCATAAA